GCAGGGGATTATAAACTGTCAGAACACAGGAGCCTGGGGAAGCCATCAGAGGCGGATATTGAAATTCACAAGGGTGGAACAGGAAGATAAGTAGATTCAAAGATTTACCTAACAGTGCTTAGTGCTTGGTAGATAATTTTTGAATTATTAAATGAAAGACAACTATTTCTAAAGAACCTAAGGGTTCTTTAAGAATATTATATATACTTTTTTGAGGCTATAAATGTCTTTGACAGAAAATTTATAAATGAATTCTTTAAGTTATTACATTGCTAATAGCCGGGTAGTTGATCTTGCTTTGGTTGCCTCCTTTCCCCAAATGAGAAAACTTAGCAGCAGCAGCAGCAGCAGTGTGTTAGGTCCCCATGTCTTCCAGCAAGGCTGCCACAAACGGTAGGCAATTAGGTACAAGCAAACAGGCTCTTGCTCCTGGTCTAAAGACACCAATTCAGGGGAGAAACTGTTGATCTCTTCTGTTAGGCTTCAGCCATTGTTCACAGTCTGGCATGGAATTAATCCCTTAAGAAAGGGATGAAAAAAAATGCCATTCAGCACAACATAGTTTGTCATCGCATGCATAATGCAGGCTTTCCAATTAGAATGCTACAGTGTGGAGACTTTCTTCACAGACTGATGAGGGAGCAATTATTTTAAGAAGGGAAAACTTAGTCCACTGGGTTTGCCTCCAGTCACTTCTAACTCTGGCCACAAAGACAAGAGTTTTGAAATCATACTCACTATCGAATTTTATATCAAAACACCAGCACGGAGAGCAATTAGTTGCTGTAAACTGAGCCCCGGGTAATCAATGGTATGCAACCAGCCATTTATGGAAGATGTAAGCAGAATCACATCTGCTAATCAATTTTTTTAAAACCAGCACTTCCCTGCTTTTCGGGCGCCCCCACTGTAAGGATAGTGGGGGATGGGGGAGACAACATGTAATGTCACCAGACATTTCACACGGCGCTCATTAGATGCTGAGCTCTGGGGCAGCCATTCGCAGGCCTGATCTGCACTGGTGACTCTCCGGTGGGATAAAGTCAGCCTCTTTGAAAATGGCTTCTGATAATGGGGTGGAGGAGGGAGGGGTATGTTTGAGGAGCTCATCTTCTTTAAGGTCATGAGGAGTGTCTCTGCTGGGTGATGACACTCTGCAAACATTCCCAGCCAGATTACAAGCCAGAGATGTCTCTATGCTGTCAGTGCAAATCCCTAAGAACAGACTTTGCAGGCAGACAAAGGAGCGAGTGAGGGAAGGTGGTGGGGCTTTACACTGCCTAACAAGAATCCGTAGACAGGAAGGAGACTGCGCCAGCTTTTCTTTTAGGGTTTTAAACTGTACTTGCTTTTTCAGTTGAATCAACAAAAGGATTTTATTCCTGATGAAGCCTAAGTTCCAAGCAAATAGGCACCCTGGTACATGAATTTGAATCCCTCTGAAGCTGCACGTGCAGAGGACAGAGCTCTATACTTGATAACCTGCCATCCGCCAGTGTCCCTTCCCACTCAAGAGTCACCGTGACCCTGCATTCCCCAGGGGCTCTTAATAGAAGAATAGAAAGGAGATGTCTCAACCAGTATGTACTCTTGGCTGCTATTCAGGAAAGAAAAAAATTTAGGCTAGGAGAAATTATTGAGGTAAAGATCGATGGACTAGGCTAATAAAAATTAATATCTTTAGCATGCCAACTATGATAGGCAGTGAATTAATATCCTTTAGCTATGGAGGACATTTTGTAAGTCATTAACAATAGGATAAATATAGAAAATACACAAAATGTTCAAGTTCAATGATAAGTTTTAAAAAATCCCTGCAAATGAATGAAATGTGTCTGCCGTGTAACAGCAGCAGTGTTTCTAAGTAAGATTGTCAGTGGGACGCTCAGAACTGGGTGCTGGCTGGAGTCTGCTGGCAGCGCAGCCTGTTACAGATTTCTGCTAAAGGTGAGGGAGAAGAGAGGTATATACCACAGTCTCAAAATGAGAGTGATTTTACAAACCTTTTCAAGGAAAGTAGTGGATTTAGCTAAGAATGTTTATTAAAGAGTTTTCCTAACAGTGAAATATTATTCACTACTTAAATTTTGTTTACTAAGAGACTGGTTAAACTGTGGGACATCTGTAGAATGAAATGCTGTGATGTCAGCACCTACGATAGAGATGATGTCAGACATGACCTTACAGGGTCTCCCTCACTCCCCAGGGTTTCTCTGTGCAGCTCTCACTGTCCCGGCCGGTCTCTGCCCCCGAGTGCTGGGATCGAAGGCGTGCGCCACCGTCAGTTTACAGGTAGTGCTGACATCACTCTAGGAGTCTCTGAGGACACCCACCACACTCATAATTGGTCACCTCTCAGTGTTGTCTCCATGTCTTGTATCCTCAAGGCAGTCTCTTTCCATGGACCATTTTGAGATCTGGTTAGATTCTGCCTCACAGGGACCGAGTGTGTTTATTGGGTACTCTATCAGCACTGACTCATAGTTACCTGGACGATAGGTGGTTGGAACCCTCTGGTTCTCCATTAATAATTCCAAATCGTAGTGAGAGAGCCAGGCGTGGTGGCACAGGCCTTTACTCAGGAGGCAGATATCTGAGTTCCAGGACAGCCAGGGCAATGCAGAGAAACCCTATCTCCAGAAACAAAAGCAAAACACCCCAAGCGTCCTAGTGAGGGTTGTCTTGAAAGAAACCTGTTGCAAGCTGTGAGGTGAGAACAGTTAACTTGAGGCTCCCTCATCTGTAATAGTGAATGGCCGTGTCCAAAACAAAGAATTGAAGGGAAAGGAGCTGGGCCTTGGGCACAGGCCTGTCATCCCAGGGGCTCAAGGCCTGAAAGGCCTAGGACTACTGAGTGAGAGTTCAAGGTCAGCCTTGGCAACTTAGGCCCCGCCTCAAAGGGCTGTGACCATAGCTTAGTGATAGAACAGTTGCCTAGCCCTCGTCTAATATCCAGAGACAATCACAGGAGCAGTAATTCTCTACAGTAACCTTATATGTGAGAGAGAACTCGTGCAAGGGTTTTCACTGGCTGTAATCACAGGATTAGAGAAGACACCAGGAATGGCAGTTATGGAGTGATAAGTTAGAGTGGAAAATGATCCAGATGTATAAAGTGGGAATAACAGCAGTACTTGCTGGGGATTACAGACCTGGGTTTTGATCAGGATGCCAGGTTGGAATCCTGCATCATGCACATGGGACAATGAGCTTAGATAAGGCACTTAGAGCCGCAAGGCTCACTTCTACCATCCATATAATGTGAGGAGTGCAATCATGCTTGCTAAGAGGATAGATATTGAGGTGGAGATAATCGAGCAGACTGTGCAGAGCGCTTGACATGGGTCTGATCCACATAAGCATTAAAGAAATGTTGGCTCTCATGATCATCACTGTTACTGCTGTGTTTGCCCAGCTGACGTCCCTGAGCACTGGCTCCAAGTGACATGCTGTTCCAAGCTCTGGGTATCAAGAAACTATTTAGACATGGGTACTGCCTTCAGGGTGCTCACTGTTGTAGCTGACTGGAAGCACATGCATCCAACTTCCTGTTAAACAGTGTGATAGTGCATCTGCTTTGTTTAGACAAAAACGGCTGAGATAGTAGAAATCAGAAGCCAAATACAGATCCCATATTGAAATACTCGGATTCTGTTTTTAACTGAAGAACCGCACATGTGAAATGTGTGGCTCACACATCGTTCGTGCATAGCCTGATGAATATTTACATGCTCCTGCAGCCATGTAGCTGCCACTGGGAGCAAACTAGCACATCTCTGGCCTTCTAGAAGGTGCCCTCATCCCATTTCTCAGTCAGTACCTTCCTTAGAAGCAACAGTTATTCTGAAACCTGGGTAAGTGCGTTCTGACTGAACTTGATGAAAGTGGACTCCTAGTCCATTGAAGTTCTCACCTGAGCAGAAAGAGGGCTCAGAGCAGAACCGAGAGAGTAAGTTCCCAGATACTGGTTATGTTTTCTGGTGCATTTGGCTCTCTCACGCTTGGGGTCCTCATAGAACATTAAGATATTTTTTTGTTTGCATAAAAAAGCACGGATTTTTTTTTCTTGTCAGTTTCTTTAAAAAATACAAAAGAAAGCTATTTAGATCACATTTGCTTTGTATTGGATATTGTAAGTAACTCGAGGGTGATGTAGAAGGCCAGGTGGGCTGTTAACAGCCCTCTGATCACAGCACTGGAGACGCTAGGCAGGGGGATCGTGACCTCACTGGCCTAGCCTACACCACAAGACCTTGTCTGTGGAGGATGCCCACACACAGACTCATCTTTATACTTGTGTACGTCTATCTACATTTATGAATTTGTGTTCACCTATGTCAGGGGTATGTGAGAATGGATGACTGCATAGATTTTGTATATATAAAATATATATCTAAGATGTCGTGTTACTGAAGGACTTGAGTAGCCACAGACTTTGGGGGGTGGGTGTTAGGACTAGTCGCTTATAGATGATAAGGGGTAGCTGTATTCCCACATCAGGAAATTTTACCAGGGTCACACGGAAACGTGGTAAAAGTGAGGGCTTGTTAGCACCGTGGGAAAGCACTCGTTCCCTGAGCAGTGGTTCTGGGGTGTTATCCTCAGCTAGCTCTGTTCCCTGAGCAGTGGTTCTGGGGTGTTATCCCCAGCTAGCTCTGTTCCCTGAGCAGTGGTTCTGGGGTGCTATCCTCAGCTAGCTCCGATGCTGCACATGAAAGCTGGAGAGCCTGAAAGGATGATGGGAATGTTCTCCCTTCTAAGCCAGTCTGAACCTTGCTGCCATGGGGACAGAGGTCCCCTGGGATTGGGTGGTTAGGGAAGCAGACTTCCAAAGAGCTGGCCCACAGCCTGACCCCAGCCTTTCTCTTCATGTGTGCATTGAGATTCACTTCTGTCTTCAGCCTGGATGCAGGACGGGACACAGTGGATAGGGAGGGATGACACAAGGCCCCATGACAGTTAGGATGCAAACACAATGTAATATCTTTTTTTTTGTTCAGGTTATTACTCTGGGATTGTGACAATCGAAGCTACAGTTACTACGTTGAGGTTTCCACCAATCAGCAGCAGTGGACCATGGTGGCTGACAGAACAAAAGTGTCCTGCAAGTAAGTAGCATCCTCTCGATTGCGGGGGCAGCCCTCTGGGAGCTCAGAGGCTTCTGAGAAGAATGATGCAGCCACCAGGGAGGTGCGGTGCAGTCCCATGATCCTTTGTTTCCTTTTTGACTGTTAAGAATTTAAATGAGATTTACTTGCCGTGCCCAAATAAGCTTTACTTGTGAACTGAACTTGGAAATGATTGACATGTCCAAACAGGGAAAGGAAGAGTTTCCTGTGCGGTCCTCCCCCCCCCCGACCTCCAAGCTCCACACTACCATTTTAGGGGGTTTTTACTTCCTAATAGAATTTGTCTTCACTGGTTACTGTGGACTCTGCCTTACTCCTTAACTTGTGCTGGTCCTCATACCAAATCTTACCTCATCCAGTTCCTAAACTAAGCAAGGCAAGCCATGAGCCTTAGGCTCTTCACAGGCCTTTGGCATTGGGTCTCTCCTGAGCTTATCTGGCTGTGGGAACACCTAGAAAGAAGAATTCTGTGGGTTCTGGCCATCTTTAGCCATGATACATGAAGAGAGCTTGGTGCCTTCTTAGGGGAGAGTTTCTTCTGGGAGACAGAGCACAACAAAGCTGAGACTTCATCTTTAAAAATCAAATTACAAAAAAAAAATTTCAATCCTGTATTAGTCAGATTTCCGTCCCCATGACACAGCGCTGAGAAACAGGTTACTCAGAAGGAAGTTTTAATAGCTTGTGTTTCAGAGGTTCCTGCCCATGATCATAAGCTTTCCAAGTGGCCTCTGGAGCTGGAGGGAAAGAGGCGCAGGGACCCCAGTGTCACCTTCCAGGTCACCTCTGGTTACCTCACTTTCTTTCACTAGGTCCTGCCATCACCTCCCAGTACCACCACAGACTGGTGACGAAACAAATTTTTACACTTGGGCCTTTGTGGGACATTTTACGTCTAAGCTCAAAGTGTGCAATGGAGTGGTTTTCAGGACACTCACAGAATTGTGCAGCCATCACTAGCTGATGTTCTGCAGCAGCTTTATTATCCCCCCATAAACCTATGTTCCTCCAACTGCCCCGGCATTTGTAATTGCTTTCTGTCTCTGGATTTGCAAAATATGGGAGACCTCTGTAAGTGGAATCATATGCTGTATGACCTTTTATCCTCAGTTTCTTCTCCTTGGCGTGTTCTGTTCATCCTGAAGATGAACTGTATGAGATATGAAGATTTTCTTTTGTCTGGGTGAATAATATTCTAGTGTGTGACCTTATTTTCTTTAGTTGTTCATCCTGACAGATATGTGAATTGTTCTTTTCTCTTTAGCTTTACATATTCCGGTAGAAGAGAGCGTGTGAACATAATGTTTAGGTGGTCTTGGGTGTATACCCAGGAGTAAAATTGCTGCATGGTATTTCTTAGTGGCATGAGTGTGACTTGATGACAGTGTTGGCCTGGTCGCCGTCCGCAGCACTCCTGTCAGAGTGACTGGATTTAACTTTTTGAAGAACCACTGATCCATTTTGCATGGCCTTCAGCAGCATGTGAGGGATCAGTTTCTCATTCTTGCCAGCCTTGTCATCTGTGAGCCACAGTCAATCCCAGGGCAGTGAAGCAGGCCCCCTTGAGGCTTCGGTTTGCAGTTCTCGTGGCTGATGCTCCTGAGTGTCTTTTTGTGCACTTATTTGGCTATAATTTCTTTTCTAATGTCTGTCTCTTTGGTTGATTGGTTGGTTGCTTGCCAGAATTCTGCTAGGTAGTTGCTCTTACTGCGCTATGCCCCTGGTCCATGATTTCTTCATGCGGTTGATGACAGTATGTCAGATTCAGGGTTCACACCATCAGTACTACTATTAGAATAATTACCACATGGAGTGTTTTATGGTGAAGTTCACACTCAAATGGCTGTAACAAATAAGTCTTTAACCAGCTTCATGTAGCAGTGTGATTAACAATTTACTTGAGTGTTCCTGCTTGTTCCATGGCCTCTGCTTGTGGGCTCGTCATTGTTTGGAGGCTCAGCAGGGTCTTTTGCATGTAGCAGATACAGGTCATGGAAGCAGAAGGAGAAGTTATAGCTGGTTCTTAGAAGCCCTGGCTCGCACAGTGTGCATTCCTGCTATTCACACACCACTCGGGACAGAAACAGCCTTTCTGCTCTAGTGTGCCTGGAACATGAATCTTGTGAGCACCTTGGCCACGATGCAGGAAAATAAACCATTATTTGCTAACTAGTATTTCCAGTACTTTCATATATTGTATCTCATTGTCTGAATACGGGGTGCTTGGTGGGATAGTGTCCTCATTTTTATAAAAGAATTGTTTGGAGAGAAGAAGCATCTTTCCCAAGGAGCAGAGGTCAAATTTTAATCCAGGACTCTTTGCCACTTAGCCCTGCTTACAGTACCCAGGTATTAATGAAGAACACTAAACCACCCTGGGAGGAGAAGCATGAAAAGGCGCGCGCGGGGGGAGGGGGGGCAATATCTTGGTTCCAAGCTGCGGGAACCCTTTACAAACAATGGCATGCCTCTAGACCCCATGAGCCGCCTGCTGCATCCTCTCTTCAGAGCCAGCTGTTGAGCACAGCTCCCCATCTTTGGCATTATTGATAGTCCCCTCTGTCATTTGTACTTCTCTTTGTAAACCTCCATCCAGGGAGCTCCATAAGCCTTCAACAAGAGCACAGTCAATTCTACACAGATGCCTGTCCTCGTGGTTTGTCTTGAGCTCACTGGGGTTTTGTGACTGAGAAACGCCTCTGTGTACAGATTTTCTCAATGCCTTTGCATGGCCATCAACATCTTATTGGTTTGTTGCCATTAATTGATGAACTTAAATAATTGACAAGATTTCTACTTCGATGGCAGCACTCAGGTTTTCCAGTAGCATTTTACATATTAATAAGCTGTGCATGATTCATCAGAACAAAAAGAAGGGAAAGGAAGGCAAGATTCAATTGACTCCATTAGAAACAGTGGAAGCAGTGGTTATGGTTTTATATTTGTAGATGTAGTCTCACCCCTACCTTTAATGTAGTCCTTAAGAAGATGTGCAAACAGTTCTCTTTACTTATGTGCTTCTCTTTGAAAAGAGAAGGTTCTTTTAGCTTCTAGAGCTGTAGCTTGTTCTTACTGAGAGGTAGCATGTGTAGGGTGGTCAGGTACACAGAGACCTTAGCCCTTATATGCTTGGCCCTGCTCTTGCTTGCTTTCAAGATGAAGGATCCTTCCTGTGGTAAATAATCATGCTTTGGTATTGATAGTTTTGAAAAAACTTGTCTGTACCTCTTGTTCTTCTCATGTTCTAACCATGAGCCCTCAGACCTTACATTCGAATTGTGGTTCTCTTCCTCCACTCTCCTCTAGATTGCTGAGCCCTGATCTTTTCTAAGAAATGCAAACAACAGGGAGATGTAAGTGGAGAGCAAAACGTGACCTTCGCATCTTCCTGCCCACTCCTCAGAGGTAGCACCTTTGACTTGCTGTAGGGTTTTTGTTTTTGTTTCCTGCCGACTTCCATACTGTCAGCAGCATCTTATTCTTTATTCATTTGCCAGCTTTATTAACTTCCTACTCACGTCTGGGTTATGTTTTCTTTTTAGTTCTACTTTAATGTAGCTTTTTAAAAATAAACAATATACCTGACTTGTACTTTCTGGTCCGACCTTTAAGGACAGAACCTCTTGACTTCCCACTATGTTAACAGATAAATGGATACCCCGTGTTTTACTCTGACTTTCCTACTTCTCATTTTTGTCTTTCTTTTCTTTTTCCTCCTCCTATCAGCTGTTTGACCACATTAATATTGTAAAGGTTTGTGATGCTTTTTTGCTATAACTTGGAGATAACTTTCTGTGTGGCCACAAAGACCCTGAAATGGAAACCCTTGAGAAGTTGTCGTGATGTTCTGGTTATAGAAACAGTGTCCACACAGTATCTAGTCTCTGCTCAATGTGGGAAACCCCGCATTGCACCTCTCAGCTCATGGCCTCCTGAGAAGAGCTGTGTGCCGTGTTCCAAACAGATGGATGGGGCTTTTTGGGAGTGCTCAGAATGGTTCCACTGCTAAGGAGTTGCCTGTTAACCAGCTTTTTGTTGCCCAAGGTTCCTAATCGTATAGTTTTGCTATTACCGAAGCTTCTGAAGCTTGCTGTTCACTCATTGGCTAATTCTGGGCAAATCCTTCCTAATCTACTCAGAGCTGTGACTTAAGATTTCTTTGCTTTCCCATCTAAGTTGGCTTCTCTTCTTTATTTTTCTTCCTTCCATTTGTTCTTTTTTTCTTCTTTCCTCCCTTTTTTCCTTCCCTCTATTTCTTCCTTCCTTCTTTTTCTTTCACTCCTTCCTTCCTTTTCTTTTTCTTTTTTTTGTAGAGCATGATGAAGGGTTAACAAAATCCTTTCTCTGTGAGTCAAGATATTGACCTTGGACCCGGTTCCCTCCCTTTCTTGATCCATTGTCCCCAAACCTCACAGAAGTGGAATATTAGCTATGCTGTTAAGCAGCATTGCTTATGATAAAAAAAAATTATCCCTGGCCCATAAATAGCCTCTGGCCTTGGAGGCTCTAGGTATGCAGTTAGAAGCTCCAGCTGGGACTCCTAGGAGCAATGACTTTATAGCTGGACATGCCCTAGTATTCTGGGACAGAGCTCATGGCTGTGGCCAGGGAAATTGCTTTGTATTTGGAGTGTGAGGTTTACCACTCAGGGTGTCCACCTGCCTATTCCTGAGTAACAATCACTACGTATCACGTGCAGGACACACAGTTGTGTGCAGTGCTACAAGGAGGAAACACCCAGTGCTGTCCTAGTGGTTGGCTGCTTTTCCATTGTCTCTCATAGGTTACCCTGGAGCCTAGTATACTTGTTTGGTCTTTTGAGTCTGAACACTTAATTAAGATTGTTATGCCCAGTCCATGAGGACCCCAAAAGACCACTAGGGAGACCAACTCACTGAAATGGAAAAGCAAGGTTTATTGTGTGTACAATACAAGCAGGCAGGGACCTCACCAAAGCAACTAGCACAACAGCGGCAAGA